GCGATTGAAACACACTTTCGTTTTACATGCAACATTCATCACTACTCAACGTCTCCAGGGTAATATTACTTGACATTTTCGGGCAGCGATACAAGTCCTGTTTGGTTTCTCTTTGGGTGCTTCTTGTCACGGTAACATTAATTAATCAATTACCAGCTGAAGTATCACAATATCAAGTAGCATTGCGATACTGTAGTTCATGACTCAAATTATAAAGAAAATGGTCAGAAATACTAAACTTTATGTTATAATAGGCCTACTTGAATGTAATTGAGAATTCCCTTAAGGCAAAAAGTATTATTTGCACTAGGGTTGTACGATCAATCGCAATTGAATCGCAATTTGAAACGTTGTGATTAGTTAATCACAAGAGGCTGCAATATAAAATATATATACACTGAAAAAAATGATTAAAAATGATTTCTTGGATTTACTCAATTTCTTTACATTAAGAGGTTGTAAACAATTTTTTTGGGCTGAATTTAAACAAACAAATTAAGTTGAACATTACTAAACTTAATTTGTTTGTTTAAATTCAACACAAACAAATTGTTTGCAACAGTTCTGCATGCAACACTTTTTTCAGTGATGTATACATCAAAACAAGAATAACATCTGAGGTGAAGTGCTTCAAAACCAGTCCGCTAAGCTTCAGAAAATTAAACATGCAAGACCTTCAGTGATGGTGTCGTGAGGCATCGCAGACATAGTATCGGTTGGCATGAAACAAACAAAAAAACGACCCCTAAGTAACATTTTAAATTTGTCAAAATGTAGACAGCGCCCTCTAGTGGATTTGTCATCTGAAACGTACAACAAAATAAACTCTAACATATTTCAGATTTACAAAAGTGTAAACAGCACACTCTAGTAGATTTTTCATCCAAAACGTTCAACAAAACGACCCCTTAGTAACGTATTTCAGATTCGCACAAATGTGGACAATGCTTTCTAATAAATTTGTCATCTGAAACAATAAACTAAAGGACCCTTAAGTAACGCATTTCACAATTGTCAAAATGTAGACAGTGACCGCTAGTGGATTTTTCATCTGAAATGTAAAACAAAATGACCCCTAAGTAACGCATTTCAGATTAGTCAAAATGTAGACAGTGCCCTCTAGTAAATTTGTCATCTAAAATGAACAAACCAACCCCTAAATAACGTTTTTCAGATTTGTCAAAATGTAGACAGAGCCCTTTAGTGTTTTAGTCATCTGAAACAAATAACAAAACGACCCCTATATAACATATTTTAGATTTGTCAAAATGTAGACAGAGCCCTCTAGTGTTTTAGTCATCTGAAACAAATAACAAAACGACCCCTAATGTACTTCAGATACGCACAAATGTAGACAGCACCCTCTAGTGGATTTGCCATTTGAAACGTACAACAAAACGACCCTTGAGTAATGTATTTCAGATTTGCACAAATTTAGACAGCGCCCTCTAGTGGATTTGTCATCTGAAACGTGCAACAAAACGACCCCAAAGTAACTTATTTCAGATTCGTCAATGTAGACAGCGCCCTCTAGTGGATTAGTCATCTGAAACGTACAACAAAACGAGCCCTAAGTAATGTATTTCAGATTTGTAATAATTTAGACAGCGCCCTCTAGTGGATTTGTCATCTGAAATGTGCAACAAAATGACCCCTAAGTAACGTATTTCAGATTTGTCAGAGTAGACAGAGCCCTCTTGTGTATTAGTCATCTGAAACATGCAAAAAAATGACCCCTACATAACATATTTCAGATTCGTTAAAATGTAGACAGTGCCCTCTAGTGTATTAGTCTTCTGAAACGTGCAACAGAACGACCCCTAAATAACGTATTTCAGATTCGCACAAATGTAGACAGCGCCCTCTAGTGTATTAGTCTTCTGAAACGTGCAACAGAACAACCCCTAAATAACATATATCAGATTCGCACAAATGTAGACAGCGCCCTCTAGTGTATTAGTCATCTGAAACGTGCAACAGAACGACCCTTAAGTAATGTATTTCAGATTCGCACAAATGTATTTTACGTTCCACAAAAATGTAAATGTTCTGAATTCACAGCACACATTACAGAGATTGATGCACAATCACAGATGTGCCCTGCTAGTCTAAAATATGAAGTACAAATAAACCAGTCTTATAAACTTTTTGATTTTTATTTTATATATGCCATTTGATTGGTTTTAATCAGGGAGCTGCTGTTTGATAATCACAGTGAAAAATAGTTTGTGGTTGTGTCAAATAACACTATTTTGCAATGCATTTGCTGTACAGTGCAGAATTGACCACATCATGACCTGTTATGTCAACATAATGTAGATTTCAACCACCCAGGAGATGAAGGTGGTGCCAAAAATATCAAAATATTACCTACAACTATAATACAAGGAGTAGTTTGGCATTTCATGACCTTTTAGCTTTGCTGTACTGCATTAATGCTAAAATAAATTCATTTATGAGACTATAATGTTAACCATAAAGGTTACACTACAGTATTCCCAAACAAAGGAGAAATGCACAACAAGACGCCAACAATAAGAAATGCATTCCTGCCAAACAAGAAAAAGGGACGTGCACAACGCCAAACACAACCAATCAGGAGAGTTTTCTCCTAATGTAAACTTTAGCAGAGAAATATTTACGAGGAGCGTTTGCGTCCGCTCATAAATCTGGACCATCATCAGGTTTCGCTGACCTGTTTTACAATGGTATCCCAGCATGCCCTTTGGTTCTGGGTGACTGCCCACAGACCCAGAACATTCAGAGGCATCCAAACCGCTTTGCTACTGCTCGCGGTGGACTGAATAAATCAAAAGTGACCCCGAACCCACTTGTATTAATTAAGGCTTGCTGTGGGGAAATGACCTGTGATTTATGAAGGTTGATATCGACCTGAACACTGCAAGGAAGATAAAGAAGTCGGAGGGAGGACCTGATTGAAACCATATGGCCACTGTTGACAGGCTAAAAGATCCCACTCTCAGCTTCTTACATTCAGGAGCTCGCAGCATTCAAGAAATACATGAAAACATGATTTTTTTTTCTTTTAAGTGGCCTGTGTTGCTCACAAAGAATGTTTATTTGATTGAAAATGCTGTAAAACAGACTTTAGGGCTGTACTACAATTAAAAAGAAATGTTGTTTAAAATTTTATTTAAAAACAACTGTACCACGATGGCCAATGTCACTTTTTCATTGTCCAATGAAAGTGACTAGGATTGGGGAGTCACGGTAGAAAGTGTAAGTGAACAGCGGACGGGGAGAATGGCGGTTGAGGAGGGAGATCGGTAAAAAAACGGATCCGGCGTGTTCCAGGCACATATTAAGCACTGAAATTACTGCAAGATAGTGTTGGAAATACTGTGAAAAAAATGCTCTATTATACAGTATTTGGCAAATATATATATATGAGCAATATCACACGAGTAGCAGTGCGATATAGCTGTATATCAGCACTGGTGGGAGGCGTGCGTTGGCACTAGGCCGCAGGCCAAGTGCCTTAGTGCCCCCACCAGTGCCGATATACAGCTATATCGCACTGCTACTCGTGTGATATTGCATTTATACAACAGTTTGACGGCATAATTGTGTATATAAAAACAAAATCAAACATGGAGAGTCTAAAAAACCCTTTTGTATGAGGAACTACTTTCTTCCACGTTGGATTCAAATCATAAGCTGACAGTTAAACAGCTGAGCGTGCATCTTTTAAGCTTTAGATCTGTAGGGTCTGCTTTTTGCTGGCTGCATGTGGGCGGAGTAATACACAAAGGGTAAAGAGGCTGTACGGGTGCTGATATTACTTAAATATATCACGGCTATCAGCCAATCAGATTTGAGAACCAGATAGAACTGTTGTGTATATATATATATATATATATATATATATATATATATATATATATATATATATATATATATATATATATATATATATATATAAAGGGTGGCTCAGTGGTTATCACTGTTGCCTCACAGCAAGAGGGTCACTGGTTCGAGTCCCGGCTGGGCCTCCGGGTGCTCTGGTTTCCCCCACAGTCCAAACACATGCGTTATAGGTGAATTAGATTAACTAAATTGGCCGTACTGGACATCCGCTATGTAAAACATATGGCAGAATAGTTGGCGATTTATTCCACTGTGGCGACCCCTGATAAATAACTGACTATGCCGAAGGAAAATGAATGAATGATTGAAATGAGGGCCTTAATATCCCTGTGGATCATAAGTGATAATCGTCAGGGAATGGGCAATTTTGTTCCATTCATAAAAAAATTTCGGTCTCATATTACAAGTCTGAGGCGATTCCCAGCAATGAAACAATACCTCAGTTATGCTCTGGGTTAAAGTACAGCCTCTGAAAAAAATTCTTTGGCTCCGCCACACTCTTGGCCGCGTCTACTTCCATTGGAAATGACGTGACTTGTTCTATCGCTATTCTTACAGATTTTCACCCTTCATACTTTCCAGTGGCCGTGGCGAAAGCCGCAATGACTTACATCTCTGTATGAGGCACACACATCTGCTCTGGAAATCACTGAGACACGCTCTGTAGACCGACGTTATGACATACAGCCACCAAATGTGAATGTGATTTTACTGGAGAATTGAGCGATGCCTCAAGTGCCAGGATCAAGAACTATTAAAGACCATCTGTCTCATTTGCCCCAAAATGGCTGAGATTTGAACAGTGTGTTTTTCATGACAGAAACATTGACAAAATTCCTCTCATGTTGCCTCGCTTGCAGTGGCAAGCCGCAGACTTTGAAGATGTAGGATCCTATTATACACCAAGCACAATGTGGTGCCAGGAATATCGCAACACTCAGCACTAATAATGCATCATTTTTCCAGTATCGTGAAGCTCTACTCTGGATCAGCGTCTGCTTAATGCCTTGAATGTAAACGACGCGGTTTCTAAGAGTGTCTTCTGAAACATCAACAGTGATTGTTTGAAAGCATCCCATCATGCATTAAATGTAAACACACAGCATGTATACCTGTGAATCAGACTCCAGTGTTGGGCTGAATGGACTTGTCTTGAGTTCTTCCATTCCAGTTGGAGACCAAGCCTTGCCAGATCTATAAAACACACACACATCCAAACAAGAACATCTCTGTGAGTGAAGCAGTACAGCTGCAAACATTAATTTGCATTACACTTTTCGAAAAAGAAGTAATATTTTAAGTTAATTTAATGACGTGTGCTTGTGTAATGCTGAAATATATTTAATTTAGCTGCATGTGACTGGGAAAATATGAAATATTGAGTATTGCGATACTTCTTTCCATATATCAGCAGAAGCTATTTTTATTAGCTATTTGTTTAAATCATTTATTTATTTATTGATATTAAGATAAACATGTAAAAGATTTTTTTTCAGATCTAATTCATTGTAATTCAGTCTTAAATACTGTGTCAGGGTGCAGAGTCTATTTTAATGACCTAAGCGCAAAGTCTAAAGCGCATGGTGCAAAAGCATTAAGGCCATGTCCAAATCCACTTTTGCTATTTCAACGACAGAAAAATACTCTCTGCGCTCCGGCGCATGGTCTAACGGGGTTGTGCTTATTTTTTTTAATGAGTTCTGGGTGTGTTTGAGCATATTGTTCATTAAACCAATCAGAGTCCATCTCACATTGCCTTTAGGAGTCGGTTGCGTCGCACCATGGGGCATTTGCTATTTACATGCCGGACTTTGTAAGTCTAAAACTGAACGCATCACTAGAGAGAAAACAGTTAAACAGAGCATCTGCAGCGCGAGGATAAAGAACGAGCCTCCTCCATTCGGCCTCTTTACTTTTTCTTTACCTTTTTACTTTACTCCTTTACTTTGGTGGAAAAGGACACGGTGTAAACTCACTCCACTGAAGACATCCATTAGTCTACATATTTGATTTAGTTTATATAATAATTTGTGTAAGATTTTAATCCTTTGATTGTTTTCATCTGTAATGATATTTGTGTGTTGCTGTACATCCTCTGTAGTAAGCAGTGTGTAAGTGTTTGGACCTGCATAGGCGCATAACTAACGCACTGTGCACTGGACTTTAGGGCAGCTTTTAGTTGGTCAATGGCGCGGTCTATTTCAATTCATCAAAATAGCAACGAGCCAACAATGAGCCTTAACACACCTCCTTTATAGACCAGCACACCCATGAGTCCAGAGTGGCACAAATGGATTTGCCTTTTAAACAACATAGTGTAAAACATGAAAATCAGGGTTGCGCTGGTCTGAAAACAGCAACAAATCACGCCAAACATATCTTGCACCTTATTGCGTCAGGTGTATGATAGTCTTTAAAACACTGAATATGTGAAAGCCTCATCAGATATTCTGAATCTGATTATTAGAAATTAAAACTCCATTAAACAACACTTGGGAATTATTTGAAAATAAATTAAATAATATAACAGGGAGTCCAAGGAGTCTTAAAAATTTTAAAAGTTGATAAATCAATTACTGTATGAAAACATTAAGGCCCTTAAAAAGTATTAAAGTCTTAATTGCCTTTTTACTAGGTCTTAATTTTTTTTCAAGCATTGTCCAAAGTGTTTTCGTCGAAAAAAGCATAAATATATTTATTTTTCTACTAAAATTAACAACGGTGTGCTCGAGCTACGTGATTAATTTGGACTGGGGTGCGTCCGGCCAAGCTCCTCCGCCCGGGTAATGTCACACAATCTGCGACAAATGCAAGGAGGTGATGCGGCGTAGAGCTCTGCATTCCCGCACCCGACCAGATTTCTGCAGCGCAGGAATAAATTTCCAAACAAAGCGCAGGAGCGAATTAATTTTGGACGGGAGCGGGCCATCTAGCAATATCGCTTCCGACTCCCGAGCGAGCGAGCACGCGTATGTATGTGTGAATGAGACAGCACAATGTTGTGTTTAGCTTGTTTGTTGCTGTGTGCGTGTGCGCGCACAAATTAGAGGTGTGTGTGTGTGTGTGTGTACGTGAATGAGAGACAGAGCTTTGTCTGTGTGTGTGCTTGGTGCTTATATGTGTGTGTGTGTGTGTGTGTTTTTACAGACAGCTTGTTATAGGCTGTCTGGACTCTGTATAGCTGGGATCAGGCGCGGTGGGTAGAAAACGGGGCGGGTCAGGCAGCGGGACAACAAATGCTGAATATAAACGGGAGCGGTCGGATTCGGGCTAAAACCTGGCAGGAGCGGGCGGGAGCGGGATTCAAAATTTTGTCCCGCGCAGATCTCTAATGTGACGGTCTCCACATGTAGTGAAACCATAGAGCGAAACAGACAGCAAAAGGGGAAAGTTTGCATACTCCTTGTTGGAGATAGACGAGTTTAAACAGTGGCTAAAGCCTGTCGCTGAAAACAACCACGTAATTTATTCCTTCAAGCTTTCTTTCTTCCGAGCTTATCTGAGTTCTGTTGCATGGTTGTGCTCCATTCATTTATTTAACTACAACTGTTTATTAACAACTGTTTATCAAGTTAAAGGTTTGATAGTGATTAGATGAGGTGGCGATGAGGTCTTAAAGGGTCACGAAACACCAAAACACATGTTTTGAGCTGTTGACAGTCGTATATGTGTCCCACACTACTAAAAACACTATTAGGACACCTATATTTCACTAAAAAGTGTAAATTGGTTGTTTTTGTGTTATTTCAAGCAAATTCGTACTTCCGGTTTGAAACGAATTTTTGAAGCTGCGTCACGGTCATGACATAATAGCATGTATTCCAGCGTGCAGACTGGACGTCTGTGCCAGAGTGAGTCTTATTACGTCTTACAGTGTGATGCATTAATGCATGAGTAAAGCTTGGTTCAAACCAATCAGCGCGCTCTATTGTGCAACTTCATTAATATTCATTACTGTCACAGTGTTTAGACGACAGAGACGCCACGTTGTGTTGGCAAAACAAGCTTGAAGTGATGCTTTTATAGTTTGCTGCAGTTAAGTTTTGTTTTCATTTTCTCTCTGTGAGAGCGCAGCTGGCGTCACGTGTGGATTAACAGTGTACGCGACGCTCGACAACAATAACTTACGTGTCTAAGGAGGAACATTGTTTACCTGAGAGCTGTTCTCATCTGCAAACGCTGAGATCCGGATTCGCTTGTAGTCTCCTCTTAATAAAGACGCGGCTCTAGTTGCTGGTGATTGTCCTGTCTCTACAGATTTGGTAAGTGAGCAACCAGTGCTCTTTGTTTATTCAGTTTTTTTCTATTGAACTAACTATTGCACCGAGTGTAAACATGTTAGCACCACAACCAAACTTTAACTTCGTGTAGAATTTTCACCGCATTTTGTGACCGGAATAACACACGCGGCTTTCTGACGCTACCTGCCGTGTGCATCTAAGTTTCCGGGAAATGCTGAGTTTTTTTTCTCTCATTCGCCGTGCGGTATCAAACATTGCATGAAAAATACACGCTTAGAGCAGATCCTCGAATCAAATATCTCGTTTGTCGCGAGGGGCATGATTGAATTCCCTGAATGAAAGAGCCAAACTGCAGTTAAAGTCCACCATTTAATAATTTGGCAAATAATTCGACTACAGATGTCCATGTAGGTTAAATACCATCACTTTCTACTGTGTGTGTGTATGTGTGTGTGTGTGTGTGTATTTTGACTCTGAAACTCGCGCGTGCCCAAACAGACACTCCCACACCATCCCACTTTTCTTCCTCTGACACTCCCCCCTAAACAGAGCTGGACACGCCCACTTTTCTGACTTTTCCAAAGTAGAGGTGTGAAAACACCCTGCTGAAACGAGGGGGTTTCATGGCCCTTTAAATTATTCGGAGAAGGTCTTTAAAAAGCCTTAAAAAGATATTGAAATTACCTTTAATAATTTTGAAATAATTTTGCAAACACTTAATTGAGAATGACTCAGTTAGACAATAAGAATATGAGCAATAAATGTGATTGCTTATCCTGAATAAATCATAATGCAAACTAACAAAACGAAATAATGTGATGGTCAAATCAAACAGAAAAGCTGATTTAGAGCATCTTTAGAGCAAACGACAGAACAAAGCGAGTGGTTTTCCTGCACTTACACCTACACCAACACACATCTGAGCAACAAAGAGCGCTCTGTGGTTCCTCCATGATGGAAACTTCATGAATGCTCCCCTTCTGAGTTGGCTTGCATGTGGCAGAATGAGGCAATGACTTCGAAATGAATGTCAAAGTCCATCTGGATGTGCCTGATTAAAGCCTGTTCTCCATAAACCCACTCAAGCTCAAGAGCTCGTTTCAGTAGGCTAAACATCATGTACTGTGTATACAGTAAACCCACACACACATGTGTTTGTGCTGCATGTATGGCGGATGGTTTAACAACATTAACTGATCAGCCATTCGAGATTTTGCTTTTTATGCTATACAGAGAGCATATGGATTTACTACATTCAAGGTAAGTGGTTGCAATCAATTAATATTGGCTGAATTTACACAAACAAATATAATTTAGTAATGTTTAACTTGATTTGTTAATTTAAATGTCAGCCCATATAAATTGTTTGCAATCACTTACCTTAAAGTCAGTTGAGTTACGCCATGACGCATTTACTATTTAAACATCGGACTTACACAGACTGTAAGTGTAACGCTTTACTAGTGAGAAAACGGTTAAACAGAGCATCTGCAGCGCGAGGATAAAGAACGAGCCTCCTCCATTCAGCCTCTTTACTTTCTCTTTACTTTTACTCTTTACTCCTTTACTTTGATGGAGTAAGGAAACGGTGGAAACTCACTCCACTAAAGACATCCATTAGCCGACATATTTAATTTAGTTTGTTAAGCGCAAAGATTTGTGTCAAAACTATTTCCAATTTCATTTCCAGCAAAGGAATAAATGAACAATAATAATGAGTTCTATCCAAACACACAACTTATTTACTATTTCCAAATCTCAGCGTGGATATCTTTGTTTTGGTTTTGTTTTTTGTCCATGGACCGCAAAACCAATGATCAATTATAATTTAGACATTCATACATCATCTGAAAGCAGATGAATGGTTTGGTAGGATTTAAATTATTGGCCAAGATACTATGATCAAGATGGTCAAGATATTACAAACTATCTTAAATCTATCATTTATAACCT